CTTATAGCAAAAAGGGATCGCTTAGGTTAGTTAAGCGATCCAGGGATTTCTTTGTATATAAGTCACGTGATATATGCAGGTCGACTTCTCGACCAGGGAGAAGTCGATTATCGACTATGTCGACAGTCGACATTATCGACTTCAGGAACACGAAGGTTCTATATAAGACTGGCACGTCTGCCATTAGATAGGAGCTTCGTGCTCAACTTAGTTATCAATCTTATCATATTAGTTTGACATCTTTGATACAAGTAACGAGTTCACTTCCAAGTGAACAACCCGATAGTCTTCTTCTTATCATAGCATACCAACCAGCGAACACCCAGCCAAGTTTAGTTAGCCAGTTTGAGTATTCGTTACACTAGACCTACGGGACTTATCCTAATATTACTAGTATATAGTACCTATACTAGGATATTAAATAAAGGTGTGAGGGTTAGAACCCATAGTGGGGCTCGGGCCAAGAGCCCTCGCTAAGCTAAGCGACCCCGCCTCTGGAACGCCATGGAATAAGATAGAATGCTATGACGCAGAAGATTGGTAATACTATGGAACAGTGTTGAATGCAATGGAAATGCTACATTTAGTATAAGAGTAGAGGAGGAACATGTATTTACAGACCACGTAGTTCTTAATTGAATATTGAACCCACACCTTTGAGTTGTTCGAGGTCTGGCCTCTCACAAAAGGTATACCTAGTATAAATATAATCTAAAGAGCTATTATATAGTAAAAGGTAATAAAGGAAGTAAAACGCTATTAAATAATATACTAAGTATAACGTATATTGAGTAGTCGAAATAGGCTAATTACCTCGTACCTAAAAGAGCTATTACTTTTATACCTTATACGCGTATAGCGTAAAAAGAGTAACCAGATAGGTGTCAAGGGTTGCACCCGTGGAGTGAGTCTTTGTGTGACGACACGCACAGCTGATGGACCGCGCAAGAGCACGACTACGTCAGGTATCACGAGTGGTGAGATTGACACTGTGGAACTGTCTATTCGAAGATTCTAAGCTAAGGAGAGAAGAGAAGAGAGCAGAGCTCGGGAGCCAGAGGTTCTTATATACAGGAGGTTGTGCCAAGCTATTGCTAACTGAGCCGGGCTCAGGAAGCACGGTATCCGCTGGGTTCCAGCCAGGGGCTGGTCTGAGGTGTAGTGGCGGTTAGAACCGTCACACTTGGAGTGCTCCAGCGACATGTGCACGTGACCTCTAAGCAGACTTGGTGGAACCTTCTAGAGTATTGGTAAAGGACACGTAGCCAGTTCTGTGGTATANCTCCAGCGACATGTGCACGTGACCTCTAAGCAGACTTGGTGGAACCTTCTAGAGTATTGGTAAAGGACACGTAGCCAGTTTTGTGGTATATAGAGAGGGCTGGGAAGCTGCTTTGGGAAGGACAATCGAATCTTCTTGTACATAGACAACCTCTGTAGTTCAATTCATCAGCATTTGCTACAAGTCCTGACAATAGGCTTATATCTACTTATTAAAATAGAAGGTAAAAATATAATTATTAGGCTACTAAGCCTAAAAAGGGATATATCTTTTCGATCTATAGTAGTTCGCCTATATTATAAAGAAAGGGTAGACCCGGATAGTACTAAAAAAACGATTTTATTATTATTAATCTCTCTAGATTAAGCGATAAACTACCTTCTATAAGAGTACTAAGGCCTAGGCCCTCTAAAAAAAGCTTTAATAATATAGTAAAACCTACTAAACTACTACTAAAATCCGCTAGCACTATAGTAGAACTACCTATAACTATAAAGCTCTAACTAGAGACTACTAGTAAGCGACCTAGGGGCCGGCCTAGGAAGTACCTACTCATAGCCGAAACTTTTATTACTTTTAAACCTTGAACACTGAATTTACTAGTAAATTAAGTGTTATAGACCTTAAAGAGATTAAAGGTTTTGAGGAGCTTAATGTGACGAAACTCAAACTATCTGACAAAGGTAATCGTTTCGACGGTTGGTATGCGGGTAAGAAGTACAGATGCGCCGGGTTGGTTACTAGGAGATAAACTCGTCACTTGTTAACAAAGAAGTAATAACTTAATAACTAGATTGCTAAACTAAGTTGAGCACGAAGCTCCTATCTAATGGCAGACGTGCCAGTCTTATATAGAACCTTCGTCCTCTCCTGGATCCCTTTGGATCCCTTCGGGATCTATCCGGGTCCATCACGTGACAGTAACCAATGGAAATCCTTGGATCGCTTAGCTACTCTAAGCGATCCCTATTATAAGAAACCTGGGTGTGCCTGTCGAGGGTTGCGCCTCCTATTATGACATGTATCACGTGGACACGTGATTCGTGACACTTAAATCCTTTAAAGTAATAGATCCTTTGGAAGTACCACTAAATATTATAATATTTAGTTCTAAATTTATCTATAATATAAAGGATAAAGGTATAGTAAAATAATATAATAAATCAAGGCTTATTATTTAGGCCTAGGGTAATAAAGAGAAATACTTTATAATAACGTAATTATCTATAATTGTGACGGTTCTCACCGCCACCACGCTACAGACCAGCCCTGGCTGGAACCCGGCGGCCACCATGCGTCAAACGAGCCCCTGGCTGAGACTCGGCTAAGGCATGGCCCTTGGCGCCACCTCCTGTATTTAAGAGCCTCTGGCTCTTGAGCTTCTGTCCTTCCTTCTCTTCTCTCCTTAGCTTAGAATCTTCGAATAGAAAGTTCTACGATTCCATAACCTACACCTTGGACGCTCCTTGAGCAACATATCGTACGTGTCGTCACAATAATTTAACGTATAAGCTAAAGACTTATATTAAGTCTAGCTATAACTTTTTAACTACCTTTATATAAATATAACGTATAATAAGTATATCTCTATACTAGTGAATAACTTGTGAGGTAATTTTGCGCATACCCTCTTATAAATCTACCTATTCTATAATAGAAGAGTAAAATACTCGAGGCTAAATAGCTATAGTATAGTATACTAGAAGCGGGTATATTTTAGTACGCCCGCTATTTAAAATACTATATAAAGTAATTATATATAGAATTATTAACCTACGACTAATAATTATTCTTTATAAATAAATTAGATATAATAGGAGCCTTTAATATATTAGGATTATAAACTAACGATTCTCTAATACTAGCGAATACTCTATTTACTAAATATAAAGAAGTAGAATTTACTACTACGACTCTTCTACTTAAACCTAAGCCTTATAAGGCTCTTATAGTATAATAACCTATAGACTTTAATAGAAGCTATATTATACTCTAATAAGACGGATTAATTATTCTTATATAAAAGAATAAAACAAAAGATTAATTAAGGCTTATAATAACCTAGGATTATAAGGCGCTTCGAGCCCTTAGTACCTATATATTAACCGTATACTAACCTAAGGCGGTATACGATTTATCTTTCGCCGCGTAGATTATAAATCTAGATATTAGAGACGTAAATTAACTTAATAAGCGATTATAGTAGTAAATTAATTATAAAGACTAAGGGTTAAAGTTTATACCTTTATAACCTAGTGCCCTAAAATTAGTCTAATTTATAAATAGTGTAACGAATACTCAAACTGGCTAACTAAACTTGGCTGGGTGTTCGCTGGTTGGTATGCTATGATAAGAAGAAGACTATCGGGTTGTTCACTTGGAAGTGAACTCGTTACTTGTATCAAAGATGTCAAAC